TTAAATTTAATCTCTTCTTTGTCAGGTTTTGTGTGTTCTAAATGGAACATAAACCATAATTTGGAAAATAAAATTAGTATAATAAGAATAATTTGTTTTTCTTTCAATAAATACTAACATAAATTGGCTCTTGATCTGGACTAAGTGTGGAAATTTCACCCCCTTGTGAATTCGACCCCCCTGTGTTAGTGTTACATTTTGACAGTAATTTAGAGTCTTATTAGTTTAAATTGTTGTAATTTATTGCACTGACCTTTGTCACCAAGCCGTTTCACCCAAATAAATATATTTCATATTGTTGGTGTTTTAGTTACAGCAGAGAAACATCTCTATGTTTTCCTGCCATCCTCCGTCAGACAGAGATGAAGCTGAACTGTTAGAATTCAGATCATGGAAACAGCTCTATGATGGAGAGACTGAAGGAAGATCCTCCATAGAACAAAAAAGCCATTAGTAATTTTGTGAAAATAAACTTGATTATAGTTATTTTATAAACAATACAAAAATTGTCCTTACTAGTTTTTGTTCTGTTGTTGCCAGTTTGTTACAGAAAACAACCTGTAGAGTGTTGAACATTAAAAATCTGTATCAGACAGAAAAAAAACTGATTTAAAATAGATAAATATGCACAATGAACAAAATGTGTCTGTAATGCCACATTATTAGGACCCACTGATTCCGTGCACCAGACAAGGTGCCCTCTTTTTCCATTAGAGCACCTGCCCCCAAAAATGTCTGTGCATGCTACTGCAGCCATCTTGTCTACGAAGGCTCATGAAGGACAAACTGCTGTGGCGGCGTCAAAAACGGTTTTAGTTGTAATACTATAAATGTAATATTTGTTGTCTGTCATTAGCTACGTTTACATGGACAAAAGTAATCGGATTAAACAGCCGTTCGGAATAAAAATGCATCATGTAAACAGCCCGTTCCGATTATTCTGATCCGATTGAGCTCGATCCGAATGAATTTTTAATCCGAATGAAAAGGGTGGGTTATGTCGATTGATAATCGGAATGACGTTCATGTAAACACTTAATCGGATCATCTTATTCTGATTGTAGAAAACTGACCTGTGTGCATGTCTGCTGACTTTCATTCACCCGGTGGGACAGCAGCGCTCCAGCTGCGCTGCACCGTGCAGAACTTTTCCTCCTCGCTCTCTTAACAGATGAAAAAGAAGGCAAACAGCAGACGGTGTTTCACGAAAATAAAAATAAAAAGCACGTATTGCTTCATCTGCAGGCTGCAGCTCAACCGAGGAGTAACGGCGTCTCTACCGTTATTAAAAACTGACACAGGTCCGTCCTGAGTGCACAGAGGAGCGTTGTTTACGTTTGTAACACAGAAGTAGAGCTGAAAGTTTACAACACTGCGCATGTCCGGACTTTTATTCTGAATAAAACTCCGGTGCATGTAAACACTTTTCATTATCGGATTGTGTCCATGTAAACAGTACATTCTGATTATTTAATCTGAATACATTTCAATCCGATTAAAACATTTTGTGCATGTAAACATAGCAGGTATAATTTTATTCATTAAAGCTCATAATCTTACCATTTTAAACATCACCAGCCCTGAAGCTGCTGGTAGACATCGCAGTTGGAATTATCAAAGGTTTTTGACGCCTGAGAGACACCGCAGAAACTACTTTGCTTTTGGAAGCGGGGTGGGGGTGGGGGGAGGACGAGGGAGGATGATTCAACCACTCAACCACTAGATGTTGCTGAAAACAACAAATCCTACACACTGTGCCTTTAAAATCTCTTCAGAAATTATTTAAAGGCACAGTGTGTAGGATTTGTTGTTTTCAGCGACATCTAGTGGTTGAGTGGTTGAATCATCCTCCTTGGTCCCCACCCCCACCCCCACCCCCCGCTTCCAAACACAAAGGAGTTGCTACRGTGTCTCTCAGGTGTCAAAAACCTTTGATAATTCCAACCGCGATGTCTACCAGCAGCTTCAGGGCTAGTGATGTTTCAAGTGGTAAGATTATGAGCTTTAATAAGTAAAATTATCCCAGCTACAAWGACAGACAACAAATATTACATTTATAGTATTACAACTAAAACCATTTTGGATGCCGCCACCACAGTTTGTCCTTCATGAGCCTTCATAGACAAGATGGCAGTGCAAGATGGTGGCTGCCTGCAGTGGCGACCCGCGACCATGGAGATATAAACAGCTTTTTATAAGGTAAAAATAATAAAACAATGTCTTTGTCTGCAATGATTAGACATGTTTTTTTTATTATTGTCATTAGTGATTATCTCAATTTCGGCTAGACAATTGACAAAATCCTACACACTGTGCCTTTAAGCAAAAATGTTATGTTAAAACAGCTTATTCAAGAAACTTCCTGTAAGTCACCACGGTGATCACAATTAAAACTCCAACAAAGGTCCTGAAAAAACCAGCAAACACCCAAAGTGAAAGGAAGTCTATAAAAAGCACTGCCTGTTAGTTCTTCCTACCTTTGGTCTCTGATCTTCACTAATGAAGGGAGTAAGTAGGGAGCAATGTTACCACCTTCCTCCACTACACCTCCTGTTGTAGTCCTCCTGTGTTCAGCTTTAATAACTATCCTCTCTAATAAGTGTCATTAGAGTTAATGTGTGCCACGATCTTGAATGAGTTCAAACATTTGGAACAATGTTTGTTTTGTGGTTGCCGCTCCACATTGCCCAGCTACACCAAGCAGCCAGCCTCCTCCTCCTCCTCCTCTCCCCTGATGTGATGTAATCTTATTGTAAAGTAAGATCTGAGAGTAATTATTTACTCGCCTGCGGAGGTTCCGTGCTCCTTATTTCCCAGGCAATTTGGAGCCTCTTTCTAATAACCACGGGAAGTTATGAAACACTGAAAAACCTCCATTCATCACTCAAGCTGTACTTCGGTGTCCCACTCGGCTGAGATTTAATAAACAATATTGCGATGCAGATTGGCCGTTCTGCTGTGGCTCAGGGCAGAGGTGGATGTAAATGAGAGTCGTTTTTTGAGCTGTCAAGCTTTAGGAGATTTAGACAAGGTTGTAGATGCATGAAATTAGAAACCAACTTGGCGGGCGGCTTCGCGGAACACGCTGCGGACGGCAGATGGAATTGGACGAACCCCACCTGCCTTTAACAATGGGGAAGACTTTTTCCTATAGAACTTCCTTTCCACGGACGGTTGCATTTAACACTCAGTTAATAAACTGCAGGAGTAGTTCTCTAGACAGTCTGCGAGGTTTAAGATAGCAGATGGTGAATAGACTGAGCTCTGCTTCTTTCTCTGCCTCTGATGTGCTTGTTCTATCCCTTTCCAGGCTGCATCCCTGCCCATGTCGATTATAATAGTGGGGGTTGGACCAGCAGAATTTGATGGTAAGCATTGGGAGCTTTTGTATGTGTGTTAATGAGTGCACAGTAATGTTTGCCTTCAACCTTCTTTCTCCTTCCTATCTCGTCTCCCACATGGTTCAAACCTTCCCTCTCTGGCTCTCGTTTTGTTTCTTACACTGCTGCTTTATTTCCTTTCCCCCACAGAAAGACACAAAGTAGATAAGAAAAACCAAAACTCCTTCGAAATGGTGGTTGTTTTTTGTTAAGAGGACAGCCAGAGTCCTAGCCTCTCCTGTGTTGTTTCCGATCTGCACAGTCCTCTATGAAAGCAAGCTCACTCTCAAAGAGCAATGAGCCCATGAAGTCTACATGATTCAACAATTATCACACTTCTAAAGCCACCGTGCGTGGCTGTATTACGTCCCTGTGGTGCTCATTGCTGGCTTTGCTTAAACACAGTCTATCATCTTCCCCTCCAAGCTATAGTTATTTCCAACTTCCATCCCCCCTGGCATCACGCTCAGCCACGCAGATTCGCTGTATCAGGCCACGTTTGTCTCCTAGGAAATGTAAGCCAGTGGCATGCAAATGACATCGCTTGATTGAAACACCGAAAGCGTGCGGCTTCTTTGCTCACTAGAGGTTCAGCCATTGAAGTCTCCTGACTGATGTGCTTCCCTCCGTAGAAATGATCGAGCTGGACGGGGATGAAGAGAGGATCTCATCCCAGGGACGATACGCTGAGAGGGACATTGTCCAGGTACAACATATTCCCAAAGACTCGACTAAAAAAACTGTTCACTCAGCAGAGAATTTTTACAGAAAATGACTTGTGACTGAAGATATAAAGTCCCAGTGCTTGAGCCTCTTGTTCTGAGTCAGGCATTTCTTTTTCTTATCCTCTAAACGTCTTCTCTGTGTGTGCTTTTCCACCAAACAGTAGAGATAGGAGTCTTTAGGCACTTCACAATTTACCTCCCTGTTTATTATTATTAAACATTAATAGGAGTTATTTGTGTCCACACTGCAATGCATCAAGAAACCTATTAGAATTCCCTCTCCTAAGTGTTCCAGTTTTAAACCAAAGCCAGAGCTCACTTAGCTAAAAGCATCAGACTGGTCACTGACAGAGCTGCCTTCACGATCAGGGTTTTCAATTGAATTCATAAACACTGTTTGAATTACTATTGATACACATTGTTGGGGTCTTTTGAATCTCACCAGCTGGTTTTTTTAGTGTTTAAGGATCCTGCTGAACTCCCAGTTGCTTCAGCCTAAAATGATTGGAGATCAGAAATGAACGAACTCCAGCTGTTGTTTAAGACAGTGTTTTAAAAATAAACTGGTGATATTAAGACGTGTTTGCAGGTGTAATGACAAACCCCGTGATCTGTGGAATTGAAGTGTCTTTGCTCCGTTATCCTTCACAGATCCTCAGAATACAACAGATGGGGGAACTGTAAGGGAGATTTGATGTGATGTTATGAAGTGGCTCTGAGCTGACTCTCTGACTGGGAAAAACAAACCAGTTGTTTACTAGAATCAATTGAGAACAGGCTTTTAGATAGGATTTTGGAAAAGGGTTGTCTAAAACCTAAGCTGATGCACAAATGCAACTGCCCCCGCCCTCCCCGCCAACAAGTTTTGTTACTTCCAGATCAGGAAAGGAGATTGTATGAACAACACACAACAACATCTGCTAAAGGTATAAAATCTCCTCTTTCCAATCTTGGTGTAATTCATTTTTTATGTTTTCATTGATATCTTTTGTATCCTCCACTGGCTTTCTAAATTTGCAGTCCATGCTCAGTTCACGCGCGCTGCTGAATCTAAATCAAAGTTTTGCCAAAACACAAATCCCACCCCCACCCTAATTCTGATTAGCTATTAAGCCTATTTAGTGTGCTAGAGTCAAATCTGTGCCTGTAGATCCAGAGGTATGTCTGGTAAATCTCCAGATGAACCCGAATGGTTTTTTGCAGGTATGCCAGGGATTTGACACGGTATCCTGAGGGTGTTATTACATGGAAATAGGGTGTCTCAAAACTGAAGTGGGAGTTGAAACGATGCCCTTACGCCCCTTTAGCTAAAAGCCTGGTTGAGGAATGGCTGAAGCACTGGAGCCTCTTTAGTGTAAAAACCATATGTTCTTTTGTGTGTGCTCTACTCTTAATGATATACATAACTCTCCCTTATTTTTATTTTCCACCTGCTCATCCCCACTTCTCTTCCTCTTTCTCCCCTACTTAGTTTGTTCCTTTCAGAGACTACATTGATCGGCGTGGAAATCACATTCTCAGCATGGCACGCCTGGCTAAAGAAGTGCTAGCCGAAATCCCGGACCAGTTCCTATCTTATATGAGGACCCGTGGGATCAAACCCGGCCCCTTGCCACCCCCTTATACCCCATGTCCTCCACCTGCCATCCACCCTCTTCACACCAGACGGGTAAGCCGAATCTGAAGGCCCTCAACGACAGCTGGCCATCTCTCCTGGCATCTTCTCTTCTCTTTGAGCTTCCTCTTCTTGCTGTACTCTTCACCGGAAGCTTTTGAGCGCATGGTGAAACCTTGCCTGCTCACTCATGCTGCACTTTGGGTGCGAATGGCTAACCCCAACTGGGATGCTTCCACGTTTTTTAGAAGCGAGGGTTTTCTGTAGATTTTGGTTGTTCTTTTGAAGAATTGCAGTGATTGATTAAGATCACTGGACTGTGTCAGAAGGAGAGAGCTGGACAGCTTCCAGACTGAAGGAGTCCAAACTTGGGAGGCTCTTTTTTTCACTCTACATCTGTTTTCTTTCTTGGTTTCTACTTCCTTTATCATACACAAAATCACATCTCTTGATATAGAAATGTTTACATGTGGGGGAGTGTTTTTCAGGAGAAAAATTTATACCGATCAATGTGAAAACCTTTCAGATTCCTATTTTTCATCTGTAGAAACAGGAGCTTGTGAATTTGTAAAATAATAATAATATTAAAGAGTGTACAGTACATATTTCTTTTTATAAATAAATGGAGCATGTGTTAGTTTAAGAGAAGCATGCACTGTTGTCCCACACTCAGGGCTTTGCCCCTTCCACACCAACTCACCACCACCGCGGATGCCATGTTCAGCTATAAATAAACCCGTCACCTCCAGAGATCTTCCCACTTTGGCTCCGCCCACATGCCTCGACTCCAAACGGAGCTGTGCTCCTTGGGAACCTGGTTTAATCAAGTGCAGCAGGGACCCAAACCAGCCTTACAGTTTTGTCAGATTACATTCAATGACACCGTGTTCAGCGTAGGTTCTGGAAATGTGGGTCTCTAAGCCCAGAAGTCAAAAACACATCTCATTACCGAGCCTGACTGTGTTCTGTGCTTTATGTCTTTTTTTTTTTGTAAGACCACAGTGTGCGATAGAAGCACTTTTGTTTTTGTGGAACATGTCTCTACCTCTCACATTGTGGATTGCCAATTTTTTTTCTTTATTTATTCAATTTTTTGTGAATAACAAGTAACAACCCTGTGTTTTTCTCACCAATTGTACAAAACAGTTTGCCAAACTGAAGTTTTATAATTATTACAGTACTTTGGTTGTTGATAGATCCGGTGATTACCACCTTAGGGATGGCAACACACTGTAAATATGTGCACACAAAACCACCAACAAACAAACTTCTTCACTTATATTATCCACATGGATTAAAGCTGTTTTAGAGCTTTAGACAGTTCAAACCAGTAACCATCGGTAACCTCTAAGGTTTAGAAACATGTAGCTAACCATCACTACACGTTACAAGTCATTTACGCATGTGCCCATATCAGACACTCCTGAAGTAATTAAAGATGGCTTTTTACACCATTTATTTTAAAATATGTCTCCAAAATGTAAAATTCTATTGCAATGCGATTGTTGTGCAAAATAATTTAAATGACCAAGGGTTTGAGCTTTTTTTTGCCACCATGCCAGTTTTCAACAGTTTCTGTGACCAGAGTAGGAAAAGGCCAGCTACATAAACCAGGTTCTAACTAAATGGGTACTACAAAGGAGAGAGGTGACAACACATCCGAATTACTGTAGACTTTGTTTACTATAACTTTTTCACAAAATAAAATAAACTATAAATTCACCAGCTGTAGTTTTGGAGCACAATTCAAATTATTGTGTTTTTACACCTCTGACTTTCCATTACCAAATTCGTCCAATTCTAATTTTTAGTGATGGGCAGTTTGAAGCTGAAGCGGAAGCTCCGGCGCACGTATCAAAAAAAAAAACCTTTTTTTGAAGTACTGTGTTAGAGCTTTATTCGTTTGGTAAAAGTCACATGATCAATGACGTCCAAAGCTTTGAAAGTGCCGAAGTTACTTCTTTACTGTGGTACCTGATTCAAAGGTTTATGAGGAAGTAGATGATGGTGGAACAAATGGCAAATCTGTGCAAAATATAACAAACCAATGAAAGACTTATAGCAAGATTGTTAATGCTCTGACTTTGAGCTCTGAAAAACTGCAGAACACAGACAAAGGTTTACAAAATGTATTGAAAATATTTATGTTGTTTGGAAGGGTCTGGAGAGGCACAGTTTCCTGGACCAAAAATTCTAGACACAAGGAAAAAGTGTTAGTTACTGAATTATGCAGGAATAGTTGCACTAAGAAAATTACAGCCACGAACCTTGTGTAATTTGCAGGGCTCCGATGGGAAACAACATAAGGCTCGGTATTATTCCAACTGATGATGTAACTGTTAGTTCCAGGAAGTGACTCGGGTTCGTTGGGCAGAGGAGTAGTCGTAATACAGGCAGGAGTCATACACAGAGCATTCAGTAGGATCAACAGATTAAAAGGACTTATCCTAACTCTTGAATCAAGTTGGAATGTGTGGGTCTTGAGCCGAGAGATCAGAGAGAAGGTGTCATACCTTTGAGGGATGAGATGGGTGACAGGAATCCAAGAATACAGGTGTAAGTCATCAACAGGAGGTCAGATGTCCAAACAAATCCAAAAGGGGCTGAGGCAAGAATTGTGAGTCCAAAAAACAGAAGCAGGGTCAAGGAGATTAGGCAGAGAAAAGGCATGGGACATGAATGCTGGAGAATCACTGACAAGGCAAATGATAATCTGGCAAAGAATTGTGGATAGCGACTGTAACAGGTGAGTACAAGGAGCTGATACTGTGAGGGTGGAGCTGCTGAGAAACTGTGAGGGGAGGGGGGAGCAGAAGAAAAACATGACTGTGGATGTAAAACATAACAGAGATATCGAGCCAGACTAACTTGTGTTCAGTTTATAAGCACTTTAACATAAAAAAAAAAGGAAAACTGTTAGTAAATTACAATATGATCTTACAATATACATAAACTGATTGAATAATTAAAGTCATGTAGGCAGAGAACTGGCAGTACAAGTGTCATTCCAAACTGTTGTGATTAATTTGTTTTTTTTATAATCTCTGTTTACAAATGTCAAGAAGTCACAAAAAGAGCATCATGCCATAACACACTTTTAATTTACTGATAATAAACCACAACTTTATTCTTTTACCCACAAAATGTCTGTTCAAAGAAGCAGAAAAAAACATGGTATCACAGAAATGTCTCATGAATTTAAACAGCTGTCAACTCTGTCTTAATGAAGCAGTTCATTTTGGAGAGGCAGCAGGCTTAATTTGTGACACTGGACGTTGTCACCGGAAGTGCCATTAGCTATCATGGGAAGGTGCCACAGGATGTCAGAGGCTGCCACAGGATACCACAGAATGCCACAGGATGTCACAGAAAGCCACGAAATGCCACAGTATTCCACAGGATGCCATGGGCTTCCACAGGATGTCACAGAATGCCACATGATGCCAGAGGCTGCCATTGATGGCCCGAGGATGCTAGAGGCTGTCACAAGGTACCAAAGCTGTTACAGAGTGCCATAGAATTTCACAAGATGCAAGGCACTGCCATAAGGTACCACAGAATGCCAGAGGGTGCCAGAAGCTGTCACAGATTGTCAGAGGTCGCCACAAGATGAGGCTGCTCAAGAATGCCATAGGATGCCAGAGGCTGTCACAACATGCCACAGGATGCAAGACGCTTTCACAAGCTGCCACAGCATGCCAGAGAATGCCACAAGATGCCAGAGGCTGCCACAGATTGCCATAGGATGCCAGAGGTTGCCACAGATTGCCATAGGATGCCAGAGGTTGCCACAGATTGCCATAGAATGCCAGAGGTTGCCACAGATTGCCATAGAATGCCAGAGGTTGCCACAGATTGCCATAGGATGCCAGAGGTTGTCACAGAATGCCATAGGATGCCAGAGGTTGCCACAGATTGCCATAGGATGCCAGAGGTTGCCACAGAATGCCAGATGCTGCTACAGAATGCCACATGATGCCAGAGGCTGCCACTGATGGCCCAAGGATGCTAGAGGCTGTCACAGGATGCCAAAGCTGTTACAGAGTGCCACAGAATTTCACAAGATGCAAGACACTGCCAGGAGGTGCCACAGAAAGCCACAGGGTTCCAGAGGCTGTCACAGGGTGCCACAGGATGCCAGAGGCTGTCACAGTATGTCATAGGATGCCAGAGGCTTACACAAAATCCCACAGCATTCCAGAGGCTGTCACAGGGTGCCACAGGATGCCAGGGGATGCCATGAATCTGCCAGACCAGATGCTAGAAAGCCATTGATTTTTGACAAACAATTGCCAATAATTTCTTTCAAGTGGTGATGTTATTGAATATTATTTTATAAAACATTTGATGTGAAAACCACAAGTTGGCACCAAAGGGGACATATTTGGAAAGCTTTGAGTAATTAACCCTTGTTGAAAGCATGCTGCAGTGCTTCAGAAAAGCTTCATTTGCCCATCACTACCAATCTTTGTCGAACAAAACTATTTAGGTTTTAAACAAAATACTTTTTTCTGATTACATTTAAAATTTTCATGTCTGTTCATAATACGGTGATAGAAAACTATTTTCACGGAGAGAGCACCAGGATAGTGAGCCATTACTCCCCATCACAAATATTATTCTTCAAACCGTTAGACACACGTCATTATAAAAAATAAAACTTAACAAAAATATATTACAGTATTTATGGGACCAATTGTTAGATGTGTTTGAGTCATTTCTTCCTTTTATTTTGACTGTACTCAGTATTTTAAGAGCATTCTTGCTGTGATTGATCAATAATTACGTATATTAAGAGCAGAGAGGAATTGTGTTTGTCTGTGTGTGTGTGTGTGTGTGTGTGTGTGTGTGTGTG